TTCCATGGCTTCATCAATGCACCAGTTTAGTGCTATGCTCTGTGGATTGAGCTCCGTCCTTGTCATGGAAGAGAATTGGAGAAAACTGCATTTGCCAGACAGATAATCCCATACCAAGTGCCAAGCCTGTGTTAATCTACTATTATTTCACCAAGTGGTACCCCAGTAGCAGGTTTGTTGGCAGATGGTATAATACAGCCGCTGTGGAGTTGTGACCAGGACAGCCTCTTGGAGAAATTTATTGTATTGTAACTGCAAAGACACATTTCATTTTTGCATACCTAGGTGAATCAAGTGGAAATATGATGTGAACCATCACCCCTGCATCCTCTACATCTTTGATAGTATTATTGGTACTAATCTCAGCATTCTTTGCTCCATACAGTAATACTTGTGATTTATAATTTCCTCTGGTTGGCAGTGTGATTTCTGCAGCTTCCACCTGGCTCTGAATGTCATAATGGCTTTTATTCTTCAGGGCATTACATATGGTCCCTGCCAGCTGATAAGTATTTCTCTTTCAGTTATGCACATGGGGACCAAGGAAATAACCACAGGTTAGTTACAACTATCCTTGGATCCACTATGCCATGGACTTGGACCAAACTCTACCTCTCCTGATACTCCACCTAAGAACTGTGATGGTATTTCAGATTCCATGGCATTGATCAGCTCAGATCTTCTGTCTATGTGTCCTAGAAAGGTCTGGGTTTTCCCTTTCATCGGTGTTCACTTACTCTGGAAATCATTCCTGGTCCCTTTGGAGAATAATCAAGGAAGCATTTAGTGTATACACTTCAGGTGGCATTGCAGAACACCTTGCTCTTCGGCCAATTAATTCTGACTATGAGAACTGACTTAAGTCTGAAAATTGGATTAGGATCCAGTTTTCTACTTTTGTAGTGTATGTTGGCTCAAACTCGAGGCCTTATTAGCTATAACCACAGATCCTTCAAGGTCAAAGCAAACTAAGGCCACTTCTGGCAACAGTGTGCTTTCACCACTATGCCTCTGCTTCATCCTAACCTGGGCTATGCCACCATCTTTGTTGACAGTAAAAGCCCAGATTTATAAGAACAATTCCTGCCAATAACCGCAAATTACAAAGTACAGCTTCTTAAACATACTAATGAACCTCTCAGCCATTCATTCTTTTATGGAGCATCTTTTCCCTTACCTAGGAATCATAATCAGGTTGAGAATACTCAGGTCCTACATGGTGAATCCAAGCAAACAGTCCTATCCCTCAGCTTCTTCAGTCTCTTTCTCAATGCCATGCTACGGAGTTCCAGATTCTTCCCCCTACTTGCTACATCACAGCTTCTGGGAGCTATCCAAGAAAACTGTTTGGGATAGATGGCAGTGTCATTGTCAGATGACCAATTCGTGAAGCTTATGTGTGTGCCCCCATTCAGTATGTTCCCCACAGCCAGCCCTATGCTGCCTGTCTTGTGGTTTAGCCTTGAAATTCTACTCTCATATGTGAACGTCGGGTTTCTGCCAGTGTTCATTAATCTGGTCAGTTAATTCCCTTGGTGCCTAAATTATTTCCTTCAGGAAATGGAATACAACTCCCTGACCAGGTTGCACTGAGTCTTGCCTCTCACCGTTGACTCCAGGCGATGAAGGAAGGGAGGCAGACCACGAGTGAAGGCACTGTCTTGAGATGACTTGTCTTTGATTTTGTCCTTGCATAGTCTTCAGGGCCAAGGGTAAGAAGCCGCTTCTGACTACCTGGAAGGTGCCCAAGAATTTGGGAGTCCCAGATATTCAAGATATTACTGTATTCCTAACCCCATGCTTTTAAAACACCACAACCCTAATGTACTCCTTTTATTTTACGGGTTCTTGGGAAGTTGCTCAGGTGGGCCTGGGCGTCTCCATCCTCCCATTTCAGGAGTGCTGGGATTCCAAGCATGTTTCCCTGTGCCATCGTACTTTCTAATGCTTCTCCTTTCACCCATAGTCTCTTACAACTCAACAAAGGTAGAAACTTAGCATTCATGGTGTCCCTTCTAATCAGGAATTTTCACTACTAGCACTGACATCCTCTTTATCACCAGACCAGTGAGTGATCAAGCTCTACAATACCAACTCCATGGTCTACTTTCTAAGAAGGGTTCTGTTGTCAACTGTCTCGCTCTAATATTTCCAAAGATCAAGGCCTAAAGCAAAGATCTTGTGTAATTATTTAGATGATGAATTTGCAGGCTTCAGGAATGAGGGAAGGGAGGGAAGGACAGGCTACCTTGCTGACCACCACATAGTATACAGTATAAATGATCGCTTGCTCATGTTTCACAGGCTTCTAACAGGCTAAATAAGTAAGCGACTGTTAGGGCCTTATATCCATGAAAGGAAAGGTAAAGAACTTATGGGACCTCTCTTGAATGGCAAAGAACTTACCCAACATCCAATGGTCTCCTACTGACCAAAAGTACCTCATAGGAAATTCATCCCCTTGCACCCCCAGGCTGCGTGTGAACAAGGGGGTAAGAGGACACCAGTGCAGCTGCGAGCTCAAAATCAACAGGAAAGCCTGGAGAAGGGAGCAAGAGACACACAGCCCAGGGGAGAGGTGAGATGCCCACAGCTGAGCCTGCAACTGCTGACTACTGCTGGGCAGAGCAGTGCAGGTTCCGAAACACGGGGCTCATGCCCGGGGACATAAGAAGCACGATACAGTATCTGAACTTTTCTTTTTGTTAGCTTTTATGCTTATCATTGAATTTGTTTTGTAATGAGTTGCAATATCCTTTGCCTACTCATATTGAAACCAGTTGAGCTAAATCCACACTAGCTTCTCATTAAGTGGTGTACTTTGTGCTATTTTGTTCTCATCTTTGGGTTCACTAATTTGCAGTGAGCACTATGTGCTTTTTGCTGCTTTATTCAGTAGTAGTTTTAAAAGCATGGAGACTTGAAAATCTTGCCCTGGACTTACTTTATATTTTTAATACAGTTCTGGTTATATAACTTTCTTGTTTTAAATATAGTAAGGAACTGTAACTTTTAACCTCCATTTTATTAAAACAAGAAAAGTCATGTGCTTTTGCTAAGCTATCCATATGCCTGCAGAACTTTGCTAGTTTCATATGGAATACACATTCAAGTTTCACCATAAGTACATTTATTCCAAATTTTCCTTTTTTATCAATTTTAACCAAATTTTCCTTTGGGGTTGCATGTTTGAGCAAAGTTTTCAGGAGTAAAGTTTTATGAACCTTTGAGTATTAGAAAAAGAGAATCCAGTCACCTCTTGCTCCTGTCTTGTTACTTTGGAAAGAAAAAAGAAAACATAACTGTGAGCATTTCTTCATTATCTTTAAGTATTTGGTGTTGCAAAGCTTCAATTTTAAAATCAGCCTGGAATTTGTTATAGGTTCCTTGCACAGCCTCTCTCTGTTTACTTGCATACTGGGGGGGTCTGAATCTTAATGTGATAATCTTTTTATCCTCAGTACTGCAAAAAGTTTATCAAGATATCTGCATTACTAAGTATTCTTAATTAGACTGACTGCTTCAGCTCTGCATATTTTTAAATAGTTTATTCTGCATCTGTCAGCAAAAGCATCCCCAAGAAGTATCTTAGGGTCATCTCTCCCTTCAAAGATGAAGAATATCTTCCATAAATCAGCGTGTTTGTATCTATTCTCTACATTCAGGGTGTCATTTGCTTATCCAATGTTCTTCTTGTTCGTGGGCGTGACAGTCCTGGTTCGCCTCCTATAGAGGGACATGGGCTTCTCCCGGTGTCTCTCATCCCCTATGTTAGTGCTGGCAGAGGCCTCCTTCTATTCCTAAGGTGGAAAGCAAATTAACATGAGTAGTTTTCATGCTTGCCTGTAGGGAATAGAAGTCTTAATCTGCTGCTTGTTTCTCTGCCTCTATGATGAGAATTTCTCTCTGCATTATCCAGCCTCTCTTTACTTAAACTTTTTCTCCAGAAGTAGGACTCAGCAGTCTTACATCCGCCAAGCCCTGCTCATCAGCCCTGGCCTCGCCTGCAGTTGGCAGGGCACTGCATGTCCAGGCCCCTGTCTAGAAGCCTGCAGGGGTTCTTAGTCCTGCCCAATCCCACAGTTACTGGAAACGGCTCGCTTCTTTTCAAGCGGTTTTTGTTTTGTAGCTTTTCATCTCTCTGCATTGGAAAGGGTGGTCCAGAGAGGGTATTTCAGGGACGGCATATGTGATATTTAATGTGACCCTTTTCGTTCTCAAACTAAACAGCATCGGCATCTGCATGGGCATTAATGACCATTCGGAAAAAGTCAATGTCATTTTGGGGTTTAAGGCCCTCATCTGCAAACTGCTTATTTTACTTCCCCCCTAACTGAAAGACCTCTGGATTTTAAATCCACACTCAGAGGGCCTGCCAAACAGGGCTCAGGAAGAAGGCTATGCTTCGTTCACCAGGGGGACATCTCTTCACAAGGGTGTTTTACCCTCAGATAAAGGGAGGGAGCCAGAATCCAGGCACACAGACACATTCCAACCACTAGTTGACACGTTTACAGTAGTAAATCACTGAGCCATTCTAATGGGTTATATATTAGGATCTATTTCCTGTGAAAATAGAGCTTGGAAGAAGGTATTTAAGGAGTCAGTGAAAATGAGTATTTCACATTCCCAGAAAGCTCCTGGCTCCTTTGGGCTCCTTGGGTAAACATGGGAACACACGCATGCACACATGTGTGCAGACACAATCACACGTCACACTCACATGGAAGAAATCACAGGCTCATCTGTGTTCTCAAACAACCCAAACATTCAAATGTACTTAGCAGTTCAGTAACAGAAATGTGAAAGATCAACTTCAAAATCTCAATGAAGTAAAGATGAAATAAAGAACTCTGATTCCTTTCCTGAGATTTGATGGATGTGCTAGCTCTCCATGATTCCTTTGGGTTAATCCTTTAAAACAGATGTATTTACCAATTTAACGGATATTGCATGAATTGTGATGCATTTACATGCGTGAAACGGAAGTTCATTTCTGCAGTTTAACATTATGATAGCCATTTATTTTATTAATGTGACATTTGAAGATAGGCAGTCTAGGCCACTTCCACCTTCCTGCTTCATCATTCCACGCAAGCTTTTATCTTCATGCTTGTTGTACCATGGTCACAGATGGCTCACCCTTCCTCAGCTGTGTGTGGGCTGGAGAAAAAGGACAGAAAGAGATGTCTGTATTAGAGAAGAAAACAACCCTCTGAAGTCCTTGCTGGGTCCACTATGGTCTCAGCCTCTGTTAAGTTACCTGGCTGCCTGTGTTGTCATGGGGATCTGAGAAAGGCAATATTCTATCTGGGAACATTACCCTTCTGAGTAAAAGGAGGTTCTGTCCATAAGGAAGAGATGGAGAGTAACTTCAGGGTAAGAAATTAAGTATGTCTAAAGTTTCGTGGAACTCGGAATGCAATATAATCACAACCTGGACTTTCTGGGTAATACTGAATGTCATTACCTATTCATCTGTTCTATGATTAAGAGTTTTACTTTACTACGGATCACCATCATAACAAAGTTTGCATATACCTCATTCCTTGTACAAGTGGAAATGAAGCCATCACATTATACCCCATTACATTTTGAGACTGTTTTCTACACGCCTCACCTAAATGATGGCCTTAGGGTTCATGTCTAATACTGATCACCTTTGGATAACATTTAACTTCTAAGTCATAGAACCACAGGCAACATCTTAAGTATTTTTTGAGTTATTACTAATGTTAGTTACATGGCCACATACTAAAAGTAGAATACTAATTCTTTAAACTAGCCAGGAAACATTCATTCAAGAAACTATTATATTTTGTCTTCACTGCTAGCCTTAATATCTAAAATTGTTTTTAAATAGCTCCCAATTTTTAAAAGAATACATTTCTTGATTATATTCTGTCCTTCACTGAAATATTAGGTTATCTGAATTTCTTAAAGTATTTAATGTCAGTAATCAAAATGGACAGATTTTTCAATGACATTTAGGTAGTGGAAAAGGAGGAAAGAGTAAGCCTAATATATCTGTTCTAATGTTACATTTAAATAGTTCTCAAATGTGAACATAATAAAAATCTAATCTAATTCATATCTAATGGAATTTGATACTATAGACCTACATCTAATTTCAAATCCTCTGTGAGTTCAGTTTGAATTAATCCTACCTCATGTTACACATCTTATTGAATACATTTTTCAAATCTAATTCTGATCCTGTTGATTGGAGATAATTTCTATTTTATAAACATTTACATGCAAGTATGATAGGGTGTCACATATATCATGTGACATGAGGTTTAGGCAAAATGAGATTGTCTCCAATTATAAGGGAAAATGTGCATACTTGCATATCAAAACTTCACTTTTATTTGCTTGTAGCTAAAGAGTTTAGAGAAAAAGAGTAGTGGAAATGCAATTAAAATAACTAGAAAATTACAAAAGAAAAACAACACAACTGTAACAGTGTCCTTCACACGATGTGTGCACATATACAGGTAATTGTATATCTTGGGGTATGTGCTATGTATATACAGAAACACATCACACTTTGAAGAAGAGGGACTGGCAAAATGAAATCACTAATTGACTTTTTCTCCTAATTTTTGCCCTTTGAAATCTGCTCTGCAGGGTAAAATTCTCTTTTCATGAGATGAAACTTTGCTTGGGCCCTCATAACTATTTTAAATAATGACGATCCTTCCAGGAGTGTAGTCACTGGAACAGTTTCAGTTTTGAAACTGATAGCAGTGGTGTGAACACAAATGAAAGCTCCAATGGTCACCCAGAGGGAAGGGCTCTGCCCAAGCCGGGCACTGGGCTGTGGGCCGCAGGCTGCACAGGAGAGTGGGCCTGGGTAGGTGCTCTCTTCTCCAACTTGTCTTTCTTCCTCTCTTCCTCCTGGCTCACCCTGCTTCTGACCCCAACTGGGTTCCAATGGTGGGGGAAGAGGTCCCTGGAAGCCCTACCCGTGGGCACTCTGTGAGCTGCCTTCATTGCTGCCTGGTTTGGTATGGTAGGTGTCCGGGCTGACTCAGTTTCCTTTCCTTGCAGGGTACTGTGGGTTCCTGCAGGGCCCCGGGGCCTGGACGCCTCTCCTTCGCACCCATTGGCCTGACAGTGACTTTGGTCACGGCAATGTGTCTCTCCACACACTCCCTCAGGTGGGACCCACTGACAAAGCTCAACTCAGATGATTCCAGCCAACCGTTCACCAATAAAGGTGTAGTCCACACCTCCTTCATGCATTTTGGGTCCATTTTCAAATATAATTTAAACTGAAGCAAAGATCTCTGTGTGGTTGCTTCCATCTCTGGACAAACTGCTGTGCTGCTGGCCAAACAGTGGTTGTGTTATCTCCAAGTGTGTCACCAGCCTCGCGGTCAGCAGCTATGCATCTCAGGAGGACATGTGCGCTGACCCCATGCTGGCTGTATCACTGCTTCTTCCTATTTCTACCTCCCATATGTACCCATTTATTTCATGATTCTGGGTGTAAGGGATGCTTAATTTGATTTGGCCTCACAGAGAAAAGTGTTAGGGAAGCTAAAGATGTGCTTGTCTCTCCTGATCTTGTTTATAACTCAAATATACATTCAAAGCAATACTCTAAATGCCCACTATAACATACCCAAGTCACAGCTTTAGCTAATATCTTCCTCCAAAAATCTAAGATCCTATGCTACATTAGGTTTAACTACTAATAGAACCAAGTTAGATATATACTCTCAAGGTCAATACTACTCTCTAAGCCCATTTAATATAGACAACAAATGTTTTTCTTTCAAAATGTTAATATTTTATTCATAAGCAACTCAAATGATGTGAATTACCTTGTGAGAAGGAGGATTGTGTTAATTTTTCAATTTGTTTCAGATCCCTATTTTTATATGTTTAGATGTATTTAATATACTACATATAAATACATTTGAAATATCTTTGTATATCTGTCCATCAAAAGCAATTGTCATTGTCTAAATCAGTGAGGCACCAAAAGCAATAGATGAGCCAAATTCCCATATCTTTATTTCTAAATATTATTTGTCATTGAAAAAAGCCAGAGATCCCTGAAGGAAAGGCAGATTTTTGAGCTAGTGAAGAGAAATAACAAGATAGATCTGGAACATTTGTTATATCAGAAAGCAGAGAATTGCTGAGTGAATCAGAGGGCCATGCGTAATGGCAAGGGAACCAGCTCAGAGCAAGAGGACCTGCTGGCCACATCTGAAATAATTTGATCATGGTGATGATGAATATTGGTAGTAGATGCCAGCCCCCAAATTAAATAAGAATCTAGGAGTCTGTACTGATACTAACATTAAAAATAAATAAATAAAATAAAATAACTGTTAAAGGCTCCTTCATTATGACTTTAGGAAGAACCCGCATGGCATGAGGTTATTCTAATCTTTGAATAAATTTTAAAACAAACACCAGGCAGTTAGTCTCTTGTCTTCTTAGGGAATGGGCTAGTGCCAACATACTGTAGCCTTCGTGGGGGAAAAGGTAGCATTTTGGGACTCTTTTGAGAAAGGCTATCTCAATGCTGTCTCTGTCATCTGTTTCAGGATGATACAGATGTGTTCTCTACAGAAAGGCCCTCTGACTTGGACCCCTGCCAAAGGCCTGTTATAGTGTATCGATTAAATGGTCAGTATACTATAGAAGCGGCTCCTCATCTACTGGTTTATTGCCTGAGAACATATCCTGAAAGTGCCTGGGTAAATAGGTAAGTTTATTGAAAGAAGTAGAATCTTTTGTAGCATTGTCTGAAGGCTTCTAGTGTATTCCATTAGTCCTCTCTGAGGGGTTGTGTTTATAATCAATTACCTGAAAGTGTTGTTCCTCAATCATTACCCCCAAATCATGAATATATCATGGTTTTATATAATCTGATGCTTCTACAATTTGGCATTCCTCTTTAAAAATAAATTTAAAATGATGAACAATAAGTTAGGTCTCAAATATTCATTGAGAATAATAAATGACATCCTGACAAATTACTAAATTACACAACAAATGGTTTAAATTCAACTTTTTAGATGCTAACCCCCAAATATGACAGAAACAAGAAAAATAACAGACTACTTTATCAAATAACAACCTGCCACATTCCTTTAATGCATCATTCCCTACATATTTGGCTGTGAGTTTTGTGATTAATTCATTATATGACCAAAATTTTATAATTTTCTACATAAAAATAAAAGATAACTTAGTTTTTCCTCTAGCAGTACTTAGTGAAATGTATTTCATTATTAATTCCTTACAGATTTTTTTCAGCTTTGAAATTTATTTACAATCTCCTCTAAATGTTTTGGGTTTTCAGTTGAGGGACTATCATTTCTTTTGTTTTTGAGCCATAGCATAGGTTTTGTGATACAGTAGATTTTCTTACATACTCCTTGACACAAAACTAACCAACCATTTTATAGGTCACTTCATGTCACCATGCTGCTGACAGGCAGGGGCTAGAGGACTATCCCTGAAGCCATCTCACTCCATGGGGTCAACCAGCCAACAGGCAACTCTAAAGGAAAAGGACTGTGGCCTACTTAGTGTAGGCCACGGAGCTCAGAGCATATGTATTCAGCACTCAACTTACCTTTGGGTGGATTCTAAGATCAGAGAGGAAACAGTGATCTCAAAGCATTATGGCTAAAATGTTTGAATTCACAAATTTTACAAATCTTTTAACAGCATGAACCCATTGTTAAAATTTTCTGGTAGCCATGGAAAAAGTTTATGCAAGGGAGGACATCTGAAGCTTATGATTTTCTAGGCCATTGACAAACTTGTCCTGCAAACAGAACCTGGGGTGAGATTCTATTTCCTGTGAATTTATCTGTTCTTTTTTCCCAGATACATTTGTTCTCTTCTGGAAAGCAATGAAAACATCTAGTTCCCCCATTCCTTCACTCGGCAAATGTATCTCAGGCTCCTTCTTGTGCCAGGACCATTTCAAGTACTAGAAATCCAGGAAAGAGGGGGAACAGGACACATTTCTGCTCCCACAAAGTGTATGTTCTAGGAAGAGACGGACACTGTGCATTAAAAGGGGCAGATGTACACAGGTGGCTTTAAGTCATATGTTCCGTTAAGGACAAGAAATGGGGTCATGAAGGAGAGAACAGAGTGGTGGAAAGGGGGTAGTGAGGGACCATAGCAGATGAGGGGTCTGAGAAGCTCTGTGAGCTCTACTGAGACCAGAACCAGCAGAGCTCAGGTGTGTGAGGACGAAAGGGAAGGCCTGCAGAGACAGGAAGAATAAATGACACAACTGAATTGCTCCAGAGTCAGAAACAGAGATTCAATCTCCATTCAGTTCACAAAATCTTGAATTTCAATTTTTTTCCATCAGGAACCTGCCAAAGTTATCTTTCACATAATGTCTGCTGCTTACATGTAGATGAGTAGATAAGAGAGAAGGGTTAAAGAAATCGTGGAAGCCTCCGTAAGTGACAGAAAGAAGTAAATGAATGGAGAGAGAAGGAATTAGCTTTAATTCTTTTCTTCGCTTGTTCTCTGATCTTTTGGGTTCCCTGTGACAGTAATGATGCATCTCACTTGTACAGCATTGTAGCAGTGGAATCCATCATAGAAATGTTTCTAAGTGAATCTCCTGCATGTCTTCACTTTTCACTCATTATGTCTTGTGTTGGATGCTGAAAATAGACCAATGGGAAAATCCTAGATGCAGTCGCTGGTTCCTTTTTCCCAATCCTTGCCGAATGTCTCATCCTCTCTCCTGCCAGCTTCACTGCAGCTGCCAGGCGCTGAGGAGCTGGCAAAGCCCCCAGCTCCCAGGTTAAGACCCAAACTTCTGCAGATATAAGGCCATGAATGCCTCGCACACAACACTCTCACTCTCACTTAAAAAGGGAAACAAGCCATGTAAACACGTTACTAAACATGGTTTTCATGAAGTTATAATTGGGTCTAAATGCCATTGTATTTAAATGTCAGCTGAATAGCTACCATAGAGTATGGTAAATAGAAATGGTGAACTGAAAACTGTCAAAAATTACTCAATCTTTGCACAATATTTTCATGAGTAGAATTTGCATGCGATATGAGTAATCATATTTAATGTGATGTTTTACTGTTTTGAATGAACTAGTAACAAATATTCTAGTGGATAATGGTATTTACATAAAAGAAACATACCATGGAAACTGTTCTAAAGATAAATATTACCTGAGTCAAAGCATCATAATAAAAGGTATCCCGCACATTCACTGAACAATCATTTACTTAGAAATCAAAATGTGCTACATAAATGCCTCGCAGGTTCTGTGCTCTTTGTGGCAACTATGTGGGTCACGTGCCCTGGGCTGAATTCATACTGGCTCTGTCCTTGAGACACTCACTAGTGAGGAAAGCAGACATGTAAGTTAGTAACCATACAGCTATGTGTAAAATGCAAAAGACAATGATAGCACAAGGACTGGAAAATTCTGGGAATGGTGGGCAGGACAGTGCGAGGAGAGGAGGTTCCCTAACAAATGGAGTTTGAGATGGGGCTTAGATGTGCTGCAAACTGTTCCTCAGGAAGGAAGAGCGAGGCAGGAGCAGAGGCCTGGACTGGCCTGCACATGGTGAGAAGGAGTCAGGGAAGCTTCACATTTAAACAGGAACCAAACTCTAAGTGCTAAAAGTAACCTTCAGGGTACTACAATTGAATGCATACATTAATTAAAGTGAAGAATTTTCCATTCCCTGACAAGCTAAGACCACACCTCTTCACAGGTTTTATTTTTTCTCTTTGTGAAGTCTTTTCTCCAATTCTTGGCAAAATTGGATACTATCATTCAAGTTTTGGGCTAAACGCATTACCCAATAAGGTAGTGACACTACCACACTTCCCTGCTAACTCCCCCTTTCTTTTGTGTGTAAAGCTTTCAATATAGGAAGAATGGAAACACACAATAAATACCATCTTCACAACTTCATATCATGCCTACATCCCCTTGATTTCTAATCGCTTCATTCTTGCAAACTAGACTGAGAAAATTGTGGCAATTGCTAATCAACATTTGGTGTAGTAGAGACTCCTGGGAATTGTTAGCTGGCCACATTCCTGTTATCCTCTAATAAACATATTTTGTTCACTAGTAGCCAAGTGAAGATGACTAAAGCAGAAGAGCTCCTTTCAGAGATATTTGCATTTTAGTATCTCTAAGGGGTAAATCTCTAGTGCAAAATTATCAGGCAATGTGGCAAAACATCGTGAAGCATTTTGTGGAGAGTGGAAAAGATGTTCCTAGCCATGTAAATCCGACCTCATATGCAAATCTTTCTACCCTTGAGGAGACACCTACATGTGTCTCCAGAGAAATGAACTGGGAGATAAATCTCCATTTGTTTTGGGAAACTCATACTTCTTTTATTTGGCATTTTCTGCTAAAATAGGAGCTTCGTGAGTATTTATGTACAAGATAATAGCCTTAAAGGTTTGGGGGGCTTGAAAAGAAAAACGTTTATTGCTTTTGTGGTCTGTAAGATATTGTAATGAATTCCTGAACTCTCACAGTCATATAATCAGAGACTGTATGTACCCTTTGCCCCTTAAATTTTGATTTAAAAAACCCCAAACACAATTCATATCAAATTCCTTATTTCTAGTTCACCTATCAAGATAGTGTTGACAATGGAAATAAAATTTAAAATATATCCTAAAGTAGGAAGCAGAAGCACACTGTATTAAAAATATATCCTTGAGGGCTGGGATTTAGCTCAGTGGTGCCGCTGCCTGCCTCGCAAGTGCAAGGCTCCGAGTTTGATCCCCGGGACCAAAAAAAAAAAAAAAATCTATATATATCCTTGAAATTTAAGAATTTTATTAAAATGGTAGTTACTACACTATAAAAGACTACAGTACAAGAAAATAGACTCAAAATTAGATGAAATTGATTTAATTTAGACAATATATAGCTAGTAATCGATGACTACCACAATCAGGATCGATTGTAGACAAAATGGTCATCATTTCCTTTTTATTAGTACCTGTCTGTAGTAGGTCACGGTCGCATTCCATGTTCGGAGCGGGTCCGTGTACGTGAGGCATCTTCGTTCCCTTTCCATCCTCTATTCCGCCCCTCCCTTCCCTTCTGTGCAGGTCTTGGTCCCCTTCCTTCTCTTTGTCCATGTCTGGAGCACATAGTGTTCACATTCCTCGTGAGGGGCTGGCCCAAGGCCGCGGCCAAGACACATCTGCATTCCTCTTCTGTCCCCTGCCCCTCCCTCCCTCTACTCCCTCCATTTACTTTTTATTTACCAAAGTTCATTAAACCCAAAGCACATTACCAAAGTACATCAAGCAATACTGATGCAATCGATATTATAAATGTGCATTATTAACACTTATTAGTCTGTTCGAATATCTGACAGCTTTAAGTTCAGTAACTTATTTAGAAACTCCTTAGGTGATATTTTGAAAACAGATTTGTAGGGGTGGTTCTACAAATTAAATGTAAGCCAGCAACTGAAGGAGCTGAGTGGGAGAGTAGGAGATATTAGGAGAGCTCACGAAAGGGAAATAACAGGGCCATTACGGGAAGCCCTGTCCAGTCACGGGCAGGGAGGGTGTGGAAACAGCACTAGGAACTGAAGCTTTACTTGACATCAAGAGGGAGATGGCAGACTCGCCTTGGCGCATTCCCTGCTGGTGCATTTATGGATGGTAGCACTCAGGAGAAAGTGAGGAAAGAGTCACAATGAACAAGCCGTGCTTTATAAATGAAACTAGCTTGGTTTAACTGGTTCTTTATGGACCAATGCTAGCTTCCTATTTTCACGGCTTTCTCTGACACCCTAATTTTCTTGGTCCACAGTTGAAGTCCATCTTTTTCCTCTTCATAAAGTTTGCTTTTTACGCAAATTTTACTGATTACCCTCTGCCCACTTTTCTTCAGAGGTAAAAGATGTTTTTTCCAGTTCCCTGATTGTTTTATTGTCATACGATCTACCGAACAGTTAGAAAACTAAAATCCCCTAAAGAAATTAAATGATTTCCAATTATTCCATGACCGCTCTTAAATTATAATTTTCTCTGAAACATACTTTCCCTTTAAAAATTATTTTCCTTGATAGCTTAAAAACAAAAAAAAACTGTCTCAAAACTTTACCATCTTCTCAGATGGACATATTATGGATCTTTAAAAAATAATTTTTAAACTTTCGGTTTATTTCACCAGTTATCTCTGGATTTTGTGCTTAATATAGTAATTTCCCATTTATATTCACTGGTAGTTATATGTTCCACTTCTTCCTACAACTAGTTTCCTTCATTCTTTCAACCTCTGTCTGCAATGCACATGTAAGTCCCGTTTTCAAAGAAGATATAGTCTAGGAGTAAGAGCAGGACGTGTCTGGTACGTTAGTAGTCAGGAAATAATATGATGAAAAGTTCCAGATAGGGCCAGGGATTTAGCTCAGTGGTTTTGCCACCTGCCTTGCAAGCGCACGGTCCCGAGTTCCATCCCCGGTACCAAAAAAAAAAAAAAAAAAATGTAAGAAAAGTTTCAGGTAAGAAGTTCTAAGAGTTCAATAGGTAAAATCACTGTAAGCTCATCATATACGAATTTTAACTTTCATGAGAAAAAAAAAACTTTCGTGAGATCTTTGAGTTGGATCTCCAATACCATACCCAAGCAAATATTTTGGCTTCAATGGCCATAAAAACTACATGATGTTATATGTAATGTTTGAAGATATGTATAGATAGATAGATATGATGTTTGTACATGATACTATATATATGAGTTTGACGTATATGTAATTCTGTATAAATAGCAACAGAATATACATATTAATCTATATTCAATGCAATACATATATATATATTTTAGTGGGGCGAGAATAGGATAGGATCACTAGAATTCATAATGTTCTGAAAGACATCTGTGATACTCAAAATTGTTGAGCAAACTACACCACTCAGAATAATGGCTGGAGAGTTTTGCAAAACTATTAAAATTAGTATGATTATAATTACACTCTCAATATGTCCAAATGTTCACTAGGGTTTGTGTTCTCAATAATCTGGCTAAGGAATCGTGATGAACTTTTCTTCTAGTTTCTTTAAGTATGCTTTTCCAAAGACTAGAAAACATACTCACTCTTCTTTCCCATTGTGAACTCTAAAACGCTCATTTTCTTTCTACCACTTTCCTTTCACCTCCGTGCTTTCCTCACTTGGTAAAAAGTAAGCTCATAACATTCGTATTCCTCAACCTCTTCTTTTACTTCCTTTTTGGAAAATGTTCCTTTAAAAATTAGTAGAGGTGCTCGTTCCAATGGCTCAATTGGTTAGCACGCAGTACTTATATACAAATTATTGGACTGATAAGTATAATGAGCAGGATTAGGACTCAAGCAGGAGACACATTGAAATATATACAGGCTATTTAAAATACATGTTTAAAGTTGGGATGGCAGTTGATGAGAATCCGAGGACCTATATTGAAGGGCCTCATAAAAAAATAAAGGATAAGTTAAGATGTGTATATGGAAAACAGAGAGGGTAAGAAGTTAAAAAAAAGCTGTTAGAACAGAAAAGAGATAAAAATAAGTACTATTTAATAGTTTTCTGCAAGAATGAGTTCATGAAAAACTGCAAGATGACTTGAAAAGATTCAGAATTCACCAGGTAGAAAGGAACAGAAAGCGAGCTACTCAATTACACTTTAGAAAATGTGGGGGAATGGATACAGCTACTTGATGCCATAAAATCAAAGTACCTGACTATTGTCAGTGTTTAAGAAATCTAGTGAGGAAAGTCTGAGATTTAAAAAAGTATGAGAATGTCTTCTTGGATTGAGTAGAATGCAAATAGATGAAAGACAGACAAGAGCTGAATAAGAACAGAGAAAAAGAATAAAACGAAAGATAGAGGCACATTTGATATTCCAGCAGTATGACTGCATAGGATTGAATAAGAAGGAATACATTTCCACGTCCACAAATATTGCTATATTTTATTCAACGGTGAATATAACAGGGCATCAAGAGTCATTAGAATACCCATTATCATTATGTAAAATATTGCAATGACTATAGAGTGACAGAACCAAAATATATTTTTCATGTGTTCTTCTCTTGAGCTTGCTGAATTTCTCCACACTTTGTGAACTCTAGGGTTAAAATACAGTAACACTTTAAGCAATTTGTTATTCTAGTTCTTTCGTCATTCTGTATATATTGCATGGACTGTGAATTTCACGCAAAGAAGTGTTTTAAAAGATCAAAATCACATTGCTCAGAACTTTGTGGTAATCAAAGTCATCTAACACAACAATGATATGAGTAATCAAACTTTGCCCTGTCCACCCTTTTCCCCTCCATCTTTCCAGATCTTTTGAGAGACAGGTAAACAAGTGAAAGTAGGTTTGTTGGACTGTGTGTTAGTCAGCTTTCCTGTTCCTGGGACACAATACCTGACATCCACAAATTAAAGGAGAGGTTTAATTTGTCTTACAGTTCTGGGGTTTAGTCCATGGTTGGCTGGCTCCATGGCAGGAACAGCACGGTGGAACAGTATGGCAGAGGCAGGAAGCTCACCTTGTGGCAGCCACAAAGCAGACAAAGAAGGGAGCAGCAGGGAAAAAATCCACCCTTTGATGTCACTTGCCCAGTGACCATGTCCAACCAGGCTCAACCTCCTAGGAGCACATTCAGCCATGAACTTATCAATGTGTTAATCCACTGATGAATATCATGCCACCATGATCCAATCACCTTCCAAAAGTCCACCTCAAAATACATGAGCGAGGGAGGGAGGGGGGACCACAAAAAACCATGAATTTTTCCCCAATACCAAAGAATACTAAGACGGTTCTATGTGATACAAAAGCACAATCAATGAACATCAATTCTCAACCTAAATAAAACACTTGTGGCTTTCCCAAGCAGATTTAATTGATACAAACTGAAAAGTACAATCATCAAAACATTTGAGGTTTTGAGGTCAAGCTCATTAGCACTCTGAATGTAATGGACAAGACACCAGATACAATGTGCAGATTCATGTTTCTTATGGAGTCTAAGCCTGTCCTGTCCCTGTCTGACTCAGGAGAACCCAGTGTCTCAGCATCATAACTCTGCAGTGGCTCGGCTCCCTTCCCTGGCTCTTCCTCTCCTCTAGACTGCATGCCAGATGTCAGTGTTTCCTTCTTCTCACATTTTCCACTCTGCTGCAGAAAGCCAACGAGTCAAGCTTTCCAGCATCCCCACGTATTCCTCTGCAGCCCAGACCCTCGGATCTGGGGCTTGCAGCTCCCACTACTGGGCTTAAACTGGGCACACCCAGCCACTGGGCTGGACCCAAAATGCTGGAAACCACTGGATAAATTTTCCTGCAATAGCATTTCGATGCAGTTTAGGGGAAAAGTCATATTTTATAGTTGCACAAATATGGACCAGCTACAGAGTAGGATCTAAAATCTTGGATAAGTAATAGATGAAAACTGGAGACAGGAAATTAAATTACTCTTGGCTGGGGACAAGTGAGGTGATTTTTGACAGAAGCTCTTGAGAAACTCTACTTTGCGCTAAACAAATGTGCCTTATACATATTCACATCTCTGTGTGAATATTATGACTTGCACGAGAGGAAGTTTCATACTCAGAACACCGAAGTTTAACTATGAAGCGCATCCAGTCTGCCTCCCCACCACCAGCACCAGCACCACCTCTCTGTCACACCCAGTGCTGGCCCAAGTTCTTGAAGACTCAGTTTCTTTTCTTAAACTTGTGTTCATGGCTAAGTATAGTTCATCTTTTGATCGATATGTACTCTTCTATATTTTACTATTACAATATATTACCATAAGTATGAAGGCATAATTTAGCACCATAGATAACTCATATTACGTAGTGGTTGTACGATGAGATTTTGGACACTGTCACTTTGGATAAATCTGCCATTAGGCAAAATTTCCCTGAGTTTCTACACTGAGTGAGACAAGGTGCCAGGTATAAAGAACGCAAAGATGAATGAGAAGTGGAAACCATCCTCAATATATGCATCGATTCCTGCCGTGGAAGACATGAAGGAGAGTGGCGTCTGCAGCCGGAGGAAAGGGTAGAGAAGGCTCTGGAAGGAAGTGGCCCAGGAGACATGCCTTAGGGTTGAGCAGAAATAAACCAGGCACATGCAGGGCCGTATTTCAAGCCAGCACATAACCAAGAAATGGCCCAGGGAGCCAAAGAAACTATGAGCAGTGCAGGAGTACAGGAGCAGAGCGACAAGGAGCGAGGGGCAGACACAGGCTGACCTTGGGCAGGCCATTGGGGCAGCTGTCCCAGGCCCCAGCACAGTGGGAGCTTGCCTCAAGGCACTGCCCCGCACGGAGGTGATGTGAGCGTCGCTGAAGCTGACGTCTTAAGTTTCTGTCTTCTACTCCAAGGGTCCAAGGGCAGATGCTTCAAAGTGGCCTCTCTCCACTTGTGTTTATCTTGGAGAACCTACATTAGCTCGACTGTCCTGGGTTCCAATCTCAGAGGTGCAGGGAGAGTTAGAAAAGGGGCACAAAAAACCAAAGCAACACAAGGGGAGTGGAGTCTGCTGTGTACTTAGAACAAAAAAGGGAGAGGTTTCGGGTATGTCTCTCTGGCAGCTCAAGAGAGTTTTGAAGTAAAAGGCAGGACAAAAAAATCCTCACAATGATATGGGGCGATGATGTGAGCAATCTGAAATGAAGACACAGCGAGGCTAAGAGACACGGCATCCCCGATACTGCAGTTGGCAGGGAAATGGTCTAGCAGAGGCCCATGGTCATCCCTGGAACCTGGGAATTCAGCAATGAGAAATCAACTTTAGATAGAACTAGGTGGGCTAACTGGGTGATTTAGACACTGGATTATCTGGGAGGGGTGGTGTAATCACAAGATTCCTGAACAGTGGAAGAGGGAGACAGTAGCAGAGCAAGGATATGAGAAGACTTGCCTGCTGCTGTTATTTTGAAAACAGAGCAGAGGGACAAGCCAAAGACCCAGGGCCTCTCTAAGATCAGGAACACAAGAAGTAAGATTTTCCTTGGGAGTTAGCAGAAGCAGCAAAACGCTAACACTTTAAGTGTAGCCCCTGGGGACTCCTCTTGGACTTCTGCCATCCCAAACTGTGCAAAACAAATGGGTTGAATTAAAACACTGAGATAATTGATAATTTGTTACACATATAATAGGAAACTAATACAAATACCCATTTTAGCCACAGCATGCAGCAAACCTTGACTGAACTTTTACAATGCTGCTAAAGTGTGGGACAGGTCTGCACATCTCTGAGGAAGAGCTTTTGGTGAGGTATACTGTGTTTCAGTGATACTCACATGGTTCCTTGTTTTTGCGTCTCAAACAGATTTCTGAACATATGGACAGAATTTTGATGTCTGTTGATCAATCAAGTGCCATGTTTTGCGTCCGATTCTTTAATTTAAAAATATGCCCAGTACTAGGGACTTTAAATGTAACAGCTCTGGGAGTAAGAGCATCATACAGACACAGATAAAATTCCTCACTGGTAGTGGGACTTTGACACTTAAAATTTCTGAACCTCTGTTTCCTCATCCACATAAAGTAACAGTAATGTCTTAAGCTAAGGTCTCCAGGATCATACCCTGAGTTGAGGCCTGTGTGACAGTGAATTATTAATCTAATCCTGCCAGATGAAGTTACTAAGTTATCAGAGTAAACAAGACAGGGGAGGAGGTGACTGCAGGCCCAAACCCTGGAATCTCTGTGATTTTGCAAGGGAACTTAAGATCTAAAGGGTATTTCAGATTTTGCTACTACCGGAGGAAGGCTGTGCCCTTTCACTACATAGGAAAGTCCACGGCAAAGGACATTGTGCGGGAAAGGTAAACTCACAGGTGGTTGTTTCTAGATCTCTCTGCTGCAGGCACACTGAGTCCATGAGCCTTGGGACAGTGTCCAAAGAGTCAGGTGCAGACTGCTAGAAGATGGGAAAACAGAAGCTGGGGGAGAGACACGCAGACTCAATCAAAGGGGTCCAGGGGAGTCAGGGTGGAGCTGGCACCTCCCGGAACTCCACTAAAATGGAACGCACACATACCTTTCTTTCTTTGCCTTTTCAGATTCCAAAACTATTTTTCTTTTGGAAGAGCATGCAGTATCTAGCATCATGATCTGCACCTAGAGTGCTAAGTGAAGAAATAATTCGTTCTTGACACAAGCATGAAATCCAAGAAGGGTAAAGAAGACAAACGAGAAAGAGGAAATGTGAGGTATGCCAGAAAAGAAAGTAACCAAATTAGTCTGAATCTGACATTTCAAAACACTTGTAATTTCAGTCATATATTTTATAGAGCCAGGAACTTGAGACTCATAAGCATTTTTTTCATCTTTGAAGAATCAAAGCCAACCAACAAATAATATATTCATTTGATGCTAATAAACGTGGCAAGTTAATCTAAAGTCTCTAGAATGCATGCAAAGTTTTTTCTTAAAGAAAATAGGCCCATCTTCTTGTCTGGTACCTTCACTCCTCTACTGCTAATCACTGTATTCGATTCCAAGAGCACTGTATAGTTTTCAAGTTCATTCACATTTTTATACGGAACGTCAACAAGCCTGTCATGTATAGGGTCACCCTCTGTCCACACGCGGAGGGACAAGCTCTGAGAAGTTAAGTGTGCCTGGGGCCAAGTCGCACAGCTAAAGGCAGGGTCTCCATTTCCGAGGGCTCCCTTTCACCTTCTATCACTTGAGTTCCAATCAGGATACCTGAAACACACATAACTGGAAAAGAGGAAAGGTTAATATAAAGAATTACTAAGCTGTAGAAGAGTACTGACTATTAAAAGAGAGAAAGAGACCACCAGGGCACACAGGAGTGGTGAGTACAGGGGGCAACTGCTACTTCCAGGGTGTGGGGAAGCATTGAACTTAGAAAGACTCCCCTTGCGCTGTGCACTCCAGATCGGAGTCACCCTCACTGGAGAGAGTATATCACGCCATGCCCACCTGTTGGCCAAGAAACGTGTTAAGAGTCACACACCCTGGGCTGTACCTTCTACTGATGAAGCCAAATATAGCAATACCTTCACTAATGCTTCTGTTTGCAAACTCCACATCCACTGACAACCATGACTAGAGCCATCTTCTCTACACAAATTCCCCCAAATAGTAAAACAAATTAAGTTCGTGAACTGAGGCACCACTGTATTGTGCTAACTGACAACAAACTGTTCAGAGAGTCCATCTTTAACACCAGAATTCAGGGCAGAGCAGAGCCTGTTCCGAGGTGAGAAGCACTAGAAGAACTGGCACACCGCTGTGACTCTTGTGTTGGAGTCTGCAGGGTGAGCATGTTCCTATGCCAAACTCCTGTGGCATTGGTTTTCTTTTTTCCTGATTAGTCCTACAAGAAGGAGCGATTCAACCTTTGGAACACTACATTCCACAAGGTGGTATGACACACAGCAAGTGCACAAGCAGGAGTCCAGGGCAGTGACTGAAACGCAGACTGGACACGAACCACATGGACTTGGAGTTTAGCTTCACCGTTGACTAGATTTGCATTCTTGCAAATACTAATGCCTGTATACATCAGTTTCCTTACATATAAAAGGATAACCGTCCCCACTTTATTAAGATATCAGGACAAGTAAATCTATATGTGAAACCCATAACATCATTGGAACTCACTGAACAGTAAGAGACCCACACGTGGTACCCTGTCCTTGGTGTTAAGCATGTGTTCGATCCTTTCTCATCATCGTTCCACTTAGGACGTGCCTCCTAATGCTCAGCCCCAACTTTCCGGGTGAGCGTGGATTTGGCTCCGTCTTGCTTCTCCCATGCTTGGCCCGAAGCTCTGGCTCCAGACATCTGCCCTGCCTGGCCGGTTCACTGAAGAACCCTCCCAGCCAGAGCCAAGTCCCGAGCTCTGCCTCCTCTGGTGAGAAGACAGGAGGTTAAACAAGCCTTCCTTCTCCCTGATCGCCTCCAGTTCTGACCTAATTTGATCTCCTCCCCAAACAGTGAGGGAGGAAAAGGAAGGAAATTAGCATAGTGAACGCCTAACCAGTGTGCGCCGGGCGAGCGCCTGGCATCTCCAGGAGGTGCAGTGCCGCTGTTTAAACCACGGGGAAGTCAAGGCTCAGCAAGGTCAAGCGGGCCCCTGGAGCTCAGTCCCTGCGAGCGCCTGAGGCCCGATCCCGACCGGCTTCTGTTTGGGTCGCCTGAGAATCTGCCTCTCCCGCTGCCTCCCACTCGCCCTTCATCCCAGACTTCAAAATCCTAGCCGCTCAGCGCTTTCATGCTCTGCCTTAAAGAGATGAGTGGGTGTGGAACTTTTTTTTTTTTTTTGTCTGAAACGTATTATTTGAAAGTTAAGCAGACGAAATTCACAAGTTACAGAAATTTTTACAAATCACTCTTAACGTCTCAGGCGTAATCCGCAGCCCGGGGAAGATCAGCGACCCCGTCCCGCACACCGCCCTGAGCTCTGCCTGGCTGCAAACCCAGAGGGAAAGGGGCTCGCTGGGGCCGCAGGGAGCCTAGCTCCAGCCCCCGAGCAGGGCAGGGCATCCCGCCCAGGCGCCCCGGACCGGCCGGGTCGGCGCAGGGCGCGGGAGGAGCTCTCTGCGCGGAGTGTGCGGCGCCCGCTTCTTCCTCCCCTCGCCGCGTCCCCTGCGCTCGGCGGGAAGGGGAGGCAAGGCCCCGTCCCCGTCCCCGTGCCCCGGCCCCCGACCCGCGCTCACGTCCAGCCGCGCTCCGCTCAGCCTCCGCCCGCCTGGGGAACCCGCGCCCCTGCTCCAACTTTCCCAGAACTTCGCGACGGGGGCGCGGCTCGAAGCCCCCTCGGCCTCGGGCTCCAGTCCCGGCCTCGCCAGGGCCCGCACCCAGCGCCCGCCTCCCTGGCCGGCCTCTCCCGCCTTCACTACCGGGTCAAGCGGCGGCGCGGGGCGGGGAGCGCGGAGAGGGCCGCCGGCCTCGCCGCTCCCCGCTCCCAGCCCGGCGCGCGCAGCCTCCCGCGGCCGGTCCGGCACAGCGCGCGCACCCGCG